TTATTCAAAGAAAAGTTAGTTTTTATATTAAGTAAATTATGAATCATTGGTTGAAAACAAATTTTAAAAGCAACAATTTTTAATTATTATTTTTTTATGTCTATTTAATGATACTGATGATCTTGTATATGTTTTTTTTATAATAATTATTTTGTGAAGGTACAAAAATTGCCAATAAAAGCCACAAATAACATTAAACCGAGTTTCAATTTACGATACAGCCTTCTTGTTTCCTCTTCTAATAGTCTGTAGCAAAAAAAAATGGAAAATTATTTTTCCAACAGAAATAAATAGAGTCAAAGTGCAAAATTTAAACTCTCAGTACTTCGAAATTTTTATATTAGGTTCAAATTATTTATTAATTAAGTATTAATTGATTATAATTTTAATCAATTAACAACGTTTTTTATTTCTAAAAATCAGTCAAAATAATCATTCTTAATTAGTCATCAAACTTTTAGAGAAATTTAATTTTAATTCCAACTTACAACAAAATTAAATATAATTAAGTTAATTAATCCAGGAAGAGAGGTTATTATTACAGAACCTATCAATTACAGCCACTTTTTCACTTTAGTACTTCGTAATTAATTGTAATTAAGATAACGTTTAAAAAGTTTTGTAATTATTTGAGTTGAAAAATAATTAAAGTTGGAACTATTATTTTAACCTGACTTCCCCCACTCTTGGCCAATGTCAAACTAGCACTTGAGATTCTACACTCACCTAGAGTCCCCCTAACCCGGCTTTACCAATTTTCTCGTCAAATTACCAATTAGAAAGCTCGCAAATAGATAAAATTTTATCACAAAGTGTTTCTAATTTCGCAATTACCGATTTTGATCTTATCTCATTTTCACTCGATCGGAAAAAAGCCACAATCACTCTACAAAGTGTTCAAAAAAGATTGTAAAACATTTAAGAAGGTAGTATGAACCACAATAAAATAATAAAATGTTTCCAAAAACGAATAATTTTCGATATCTCCAAAACTGTTACATTGCGGATCCATGTTTATTAAGACTTTTTTGTTTGTTTTAGTCCATACTATTACTTCCCGAAATATTTTACAATCTTTTTTGAACACCCTGTATAAATTACTGCGATCATCTCTCGCGCCATATTTGATTTTTTTCCGGTAACACTAATTAGGAATTAGTTTTCCGGTATGTGTTATGCGGGTTCCATCATCAAAACGGTCTCATCCAAGCGAATTCAGTGAAAGTCTTGCACATATAGGCTACGTAACTTTCTTACATTTAATTAAAGCGAAACTATTTTAATGCGATTTCCTTGCAATTTCAGCTTTTCACGAGGCGATCGGCGAGGCAGTGGGACTTTCAGTTGGGACACCGAAACATTTACAAAGTTTGGGATTGTTGCAAAATTCGGTGGCCGATTCCTCGGTTGATATCAATTATCTGTACTTGATGGCCCTTGATAAGGTCGTTTTTTTGCCCTTTGCCTACGTTGTTGATAAATGGAGGTACGACGTCTTTAACGGAAATGTGGGAAAAGAACAGTTTAATTGCCACTGGTGGCGTTTGAGGTACTTTGAAATAAGTGGTACCACCAAAAGTACTATTTTTTGGTTCCAGTGAACAGTATATGGGGATTAAACCACCGGTTTTGCGCTCGGAGAAGGACTTTGACCCGGGTGCCAAATACCACATCCCGGCCAATATCCCTTATTTGAGGTAAGTACAACCAAAAAAAAACTAAATAATAGAAAAGTCGTTTTAATAACAAACATCACAAAGCAAAACAGTAATACTGATACAAAAGTACAAAAGAAACGTCTAAGTGGTACCATTAGTACCCTCCATGGCCCCCAAATCCATGCTCTTCTTGTCCTCCTCCACCAATCTCGTGATGTTCCTCATGAACCGGAACCGGAACTGGTACTTTGACAGGTACTGGCACTGGTTTCTCAACCTCAACTGGTACCTTCTTGGTGATTTCGTATGGTACCGGGTTGAAAATGGGGATTTTGACCGGGTAAGGTACCGGTTTTTCCACCGGTACTGGGATAGTTTTCTCGACGGGGTATGGTACCGGGTATGTTACTTTAACCGGAACTGGTTCTGGTTTCTCCACCGGGTATGGAATATGTCGCTCTACGGGTACTTTAACCGGGTATGGTACCGGTTTATGGACCGGGTACGGGATTTTCTTCTCGATATGAACCGGGTAAGGTTGGGGTATATGGACAGGGTATGGCCGGTCAACCTTAACCTCAACCGGGTATGGTACTATTTTCTCAACAGGGTAGGGTTTAGGTACATGAACTGGGATTTTCACCGGGTATGGTACCTTCTTCTCGACGGGGTATGGCTGTGGTACATGTACATGGTACGGTACATGGATGGTTTTCTCAACAGGGTACGGTTGTGGTACTAGTACCTTGACAGGGTACGGTTTATCAACATGGACTTTGACTGGGACATGAACGGGTTTCTCTACCGGATAGGGTTTATGGATGGGTACTGGTACCTTGACTGATACTTTGACCGGTACTGCTACTTTCTTCTCCACGGGGTAGGGTTGGGGTACGTGGACGGTGATCGGGTACGGTACCTTTTTCTCCACCGGGACTGGTACCTCCTTGTAGACGGGGTACGGCTCTGGTACGTTTTTGTACACAGTGACTGTCTTCACATGGTGCTCGTGCTCGTGGCCCCCGCCGTACCCCAATTCAAGGCCGCGTTTTTCTTGCTTCTTATCAGGCTGGTCGGCTGTGTCTTTGCTGTTATCAGCGCTTGCCAAGACTAGGAGCGCGCAAAGCGCTGAATAACCCTGAAAGTAGTACCAAAAGTTTCACTCAAGAACCCGGGTTCACTAACACGCACACTTACCAGGAACTTCATTGCCGTTTGACGTTTTTAAACCCGACTGTGCGATCTCTAACCATGAATGGTACTTTTATAGGAGCTTCCATACTTTCGCTGAGAGGGGCGCTGAACGATCCACAAACAAAACACCCCTCTTCCTCGAAAGTTAGCACGAATTGAGTAATCTCGAGGTCGTTTGAGGCATCAAAACAAACATTTTTTCCCTAAACTGGACTTTGATAACATTTTTTAATCACTGTCATTACCTTCAATATGGGCGAAAATCGAAATTTCGATTCTTCTCCGTTACCGTCTACTAGTTTTAGGATCATTAATTATTCATTTAGATGAAAAATAATTAAACATTTAAGCATGTCTGGCTAGAAAGTTCGGTTAATTACGAATTTATCAATTTTTTGATTCAAATAAATAAAATATTTTTTGGACTAATTTAAATAAAGCAGGTCATTATGCAAAACCGGAAGCTGGGTTTTAAATAGTTGAATTATATTTTTCCATATTTTTTTTTTAATTATATAAAATCTTACGGTACCGACAATGCACTGATTACTAAATTAATTGGAATGTATAATAAATTTGCACTTTCCTAAATTGTAAAAAATAATTTTAAGCCAAAATTTATTAATTAATGGCTTTGTGACCAAGTGGTTCTTTAGTGTCTAAATCAGAATTAATTAAATTACTTTAGAATTACTTTAGTACCTAAAGTTTTAATTAAAATTATAATTTGAATTAATAAACTAACCTCCATTTTTCTATTTTCGGAAAAACTGCATGTAATTAAGTAGTAG